GGGGGGGGGGGGGGGGAGTCAGTAGTTTTATCTCTGATGCTATTCTGAAAAGCATGTACTTGTCTTAAGAATAGACCTTATAATTTTTTTAATGATCTTCTTCCCTCCGGAACCAACCTTTTCTCTTTTTATTGTTTTATTTTAATTTTCTTTTTTGTTTTCCCCTCCATGGAGATGTCTATTCACGACAAAGACTCCGTGCTGGGTTTATGGAGGTGCATGAACGAAACGATGACTGGAGTAACCAAAGAACTTTTGAACAGTATTGGTAAGACGAGGACGTCTCAATTTATCGTCCAAATCCCTCTCAGTGTTGTGTGCGTGAGTTGTTGTTGTTGTTGTGTGTGTGTGCGTGTGTGTTTGTGTGTGAATGTGTGTGTGTATGTGTGTGCGTGTTTATGCGTGTGTGTGTGTGTGTGTGTGTGTGTGTGTGTGTGTGTGTGTTTATGAATGTGTGTGTGTGTGTGTGCTTTCCCTCTCTCTCTCTCTCTCTCTCTCTCTCTCTCTCTCTCTCTCTCTCTCTCTCTCTTTCTCTCTCTCTCTCTCTCTCTCTCTCTCTCCCTCCCCCGCCCCTCTGATGTGTTTATAAAATGTATACATATTACATAATATATAATTATAATATAACATTGTCCAAGAGACTACCTGTCTAAGATTACTTTTATCTGCACAATTTATATAATATGTTTTGTTTTTGTAAGAGTTTTACGGCACCTACAACACAGTAAGGTCGTATAAGTACCGAAGATTAGAGGTGTTACAAGAGAGTAACAGACACCAAGAAGGAGAGACGGATGATAACTATGCCTTGTTTAATAGGACAGAAGGAGCAAACCACATCAGAGCACCTGTCAACCGCCCACTTAGAATTTAGATGATCTAGGGGGTGGGCCTCAAGCCTCCAGATCAACAGAGCAGGGAAGTATAAGCCAACAAAGCCAGACAATAAAGTCCGAGACACTCGATAACAACATTCTCGCTACACAAAGGAATCGAAAGTGGGGCGAGAAAGAGTCTATACGCTACACCACACACACACATACACACACGCAGACACACACGCAGACACACACACACACACACACACACACACACACACACACACGTACACACACACACACACATAATATATATATATATTTTTTTTTTTAAAATAAAAAATATATTTATAAATATACAAATACACACGCAAATACACACGCACACACACGCACACACACGCGTACACACACACACGCACACACACACATACACACACATACACACAAACACACACACACACACACACACACACACTCACACACACAAAAGCTCTCGCAAACACTGGTAAAGTGGTAAAGAAACTTTTTGGCAAACTGTGCAACTATTCGTGACTTTCAGTTGTCCGTGTTCTTGTTATCTCTGCCCAAGTAAGATTCATTTCCTCCCCCGCCCCGTCCCCCCCCCCCGCCCCGTCCCCCCCCCTCCCCACTCCACCAATATTCATTTATTTGGTTTTATTTATCTATTTATCTATGCTCTTTATTTGTGAGGCGTGTAGACAAAATGAGTTATTTCTCGCAACCCGTGAATGGAGATGTCAGCCGAAGATAAACACGTCACATTAATAGTTGTTTAAGGGATGCCACTTTTTCTTCAAGTGAAACATGTCTTTTAACACTTCATAATAATAATAATAATAATAATAATAATAATAATAATAATAATAATAATAATAATAATAATAATAATAATAATCATAATCATCATCATAATAATAATAATAATAATAATAATAATAATAATAATAATAATAATAATAACAATAATAATAATAATAATAATAATAATAATAATAATAATAATAATAATAATAATAATAATAATAATAATAATAATAATAATACCACCCCAACATATATATTTCATGTATCTCTCTGTGTCCATAGGGCTAAAGTCCGAGAAGTAGCTAATTTTTCCAGCCAACCTCACGTGTATTTAATTTACTTTCCCACCTCCACCAAGGTTATGAAATGAAAGACGATTCTGAGGTGGAAGCATTTGCCAAGCTGGGAAACACGGCAACCATCAGCGAGAAGGATGGGGGCGTGGTTTGCAGCGTAATGTTTGATGATCCCAACATCGGTGACAAGATGCGGCCAAAATTCGGACCCATCCAATTGTATGAGCCCTATGAGTACTTCATCCCGATGGAGGGTAAAAAACAGACGGTGAGTTTGGGTTTTTGTTTGTTTGCTTTTCTTTCGCTTGGTTTGGTTTAGTTGGGTTTTTTTTGTTTCTTTTTTTTTTAAAGAAAAACATATGTTGGGGTTTTTTCGTTTCTTGTTTCTTTTAAGAAAAAATATGTTGGGGTTATTTTCTTTCTTTTTTGTAAAAGAAAAAATATGTTGGTGTTTTTTACGGCCCAAACGACACTATTTAGATCATTTAGTCACCCTCGAAGGTCACGCAAAAGGTGGATCGAGGGCAGAGGCGAAGCGTCTATATAATCAAATAATCACTGCTTCCCTTCCTAATTTAGAAACATTGTCGCAGTCAAATTCACCCATAGACGTAAACCTCATAAATTAAATGTAAAAAGACGTTCATAATCACCAATGAACAATAGACTATGCCTAACCTTCAAAACCGTTTCATTGCCACAGAAATAGCCTGTTCACCCCTATCGGGCCACTCCATAAGCAGTCACAAGCTTTGATTAAGTAAGCTTAAAGTGAGGCTGGAAGAGTCAACCAATAGATTTGAAGGGAACATGTGCAAGCAGTCAGAACTGTTTCATTGTCGCATATACCCTGTTCACCCCTTTCGGGCCACAGTTATAAGCACCCAGACGCGCTGATTATCTAAGCGAACTGTTACACTGGTCGAGTCTACCTCACAGATGTGAGGGGAACTAACTCCTAATAATCCTTTGACTCCTGCTACTACACTGCTAGTGGTTGTTTTTTTCCTCTACTTTTTAACGTCCTATAATCAGATCGTGACCTCGATTATGACAGCGGCTCCTGGCCGCGAAAAGCTAGACAAAAAACAGCCAATGTGAAATAAATAATTAATAATAATTGGCGTGCTCTACCAAAGTGTTTCGGCTGTCTGGTATAACATGCCATTGTAGTGCTGACATCTGTGCTTCTTTCCTTGGTGTTCGTGTGTTCAAATCTAAAGTTAAATTTAAGGTTAGTTAGAATAAATATTTAATGAAATACTTTCCCGATTATTTTAGCGGTTGAACAAGCATACAACATGAATTCAGGATTTGTTTTCATTCACAACTCAAGAGTTGCCGCCTCCAGTGCCAGTAAGATTCTTGTGACTTGTGTGAGTGTGATATCTCCAGGCCCTGTCTGGTCCCATTTCACTTTGATTACCCTGTCAAACAAGTCAGCCTTCGCCCCTGATCGAGGGTGTCAAGGAAATCCTAAGAAAACATAACGTCACAACTGAAAGAGCTGCGGAGCTGGCCTACCATAGAAAACTGCATCTCCCCTCGACGCTTAACGGCAACAGAGGATGAAAAAGTAAAAAGTAAGTAAGTCAGCAGGAGGCCGTGGGCATCCCAACCTGCATGTCAGATAGAGCTAACCAGACCTGAGGAGAGGGATACAACAACGCTGCCGAAAAATGTTCTCCCCGCTTCGGAATCGAATCGGGCCTCCTGTGTGCTGAAGCGGAGCGCCTAACCGTTTCACTACACGACAGATGTCGGTGAAAGTAAATTGATGGTGATACATCATGTAGCCTAGATAGGTATAAAGATAATAATAACAATATTATTATTATTATTAATTTTTTAAAATTATTTTTTAAAAATTTTTAAATTTTTTTAAAAATTTTTAAATTTATTTTTTTTATATTTTAAATTATCATTTTTATTATTATCATTATTATTATCATAGTTCGTTGGCCAATATCTATCGATGACTAATTTCTCTGCTGAAGAGAGTATTTCTAAGGCGAAATAGAAGAAATTGTTTTAGTAAGCGTTTTAACTGAACTTGCAACACAATTAGGTCATAAAAGCGCTGAAGATTAGAGGTGTTACAACAGTGTAACAAACACACAAAAAGAAGGAGGAGAGAGTGAGAGATGAGGACGATAGTTGTTTGATAGAACAGAGAGAGGAAACTACACTAGAGCACCCGCCAACCAGCCACACAGAAGAGATATGGTTTAAGATGACATAATAGGCTATGTGGAATACCTGAAGGTGTCATCTCTGACTCAGAGGTTGGCGTGTAATGGTCCTCCATACTTCACGGTCGCGAGCTACTGTTGCACATTTTGACTATAGTATAACAAGACCAGCCCTTATTATCTTTAATGTTGTCCATCCATGTTTTTTTGTCTACCCCTAGCTCTCCTCTCCACACCCTTCCTTCGATCACCTCTTTCACAATGGTCTGGTGTCGTTTTAAGTGAACAAAGTATTGTATTTTCTACCTTTTGTTTTGTTAAGCATGGTTTGTCTTGTATGGAGAATCTCACAAACCTCATTGATAGCCTTTTTAACTTTCCAGCTAATTCTCGCCATTCCGCAGGAACACCACATCTCAAACGCAGCTCTACTGTATTTTGTTTAAAATGGCAACTCAAACAAGTACTTCTAACATGAATGTGTTATGAGATGACAGGATATCATGTGGCAAATAAACCAATGTTGGCAGAGAAGTGTTTGCCACGTTTAAGGCAGGGTGTGATGTGGTACTGGGTGGTCGGGGGGGGGGGGGGGGGGGGAGTGACCGGAGGTGGTTTTTTAAAATTTCTTTTTGGGAGGGGGTATTGTACATGTATACGTTTAACGACCTCGTAGCGTAAATATACTGACTGTAATATGGGTTATGTCACAAGGCGATAGAAGAAGAGACATAAAAATAGCGAAATGGTATGGGTTTAAGTTTAACGCCCGTATTAACACTACATAATATATTAGGTAGGTTATTTATAAGAGGCAGGACCCCCAAGTTTATCGTTGATCTCCGAAAGGACCGAGTCTAATGGGGAGTTCGTTTAAAGTGCCTTTCCCAAAGACACAACATCGGACCAAGCTTAGGCTCGAACCCCCCACCCCCAACTTCCCTACTACGGGCCCGGTAGGCTAACCACTGGGCAACCGACGCCACCCAGAATCAGCATAAGGAGTACAAAACTAGATCTACAATACTAGTGGAATTTCAAACATCCCAACAGACCATTGTTAAAAGTTAATTCAGACCCCCCCAACCTAAACACACACACACACACACACACACACACACACACACACACACACACACACACACACACACACACACAAACACACACACTCACACAAGCATGCGGGAGGTTGGCG